AGCGAATGGAATGAAATAGCAACTATAGGGAAGAAATAAAGGATTCGCTGAATGATCCGTCGTTGCTGACTCTGTCACATGTTGATAGACACCCAGCAACATCGGCATGCTGACTTAGCCCGTTATACCAATCATTCGTAGAAACAGGCGTAACAACGTTTGAGGATCTTGGCAAAGCAAAACGACAATCCAGCATGCCTCAGCGTGCATTGTGCGTCACAACCCAGAGTGCGAAGTCAGAGACCAACCCGTCTTCACTCAGTTTATTCAGCTGTCACCCTCTCTTTCAGGATTGACGGGATCGAGCCCAAAGCAGCATTTCACAAGCGCAACACGGACACAAAAACAAACAGACCTTGATAAAACAAAAATGTTAGTTTTGCATGATGCCATGTCCAAAGAGAGGGGGTTGTAACCACATAGTAGTAATAGTAGTAATAGTAGTAGTAGTAGCAATAGTAGTAGTAGTAGTAGTAATAATAGTAGTAATAGTAATAGTAATAGTAGTAGTAGTAATAGTAGTAGTAGTAATAGTAGTAATAGTAGTAGTAGTAGTAGTAGTAGTAATAGTAGTAATAGTAATAGTAATAGTAGTAGTAGTAGTAGTAATAGTAGTAATAGTAGTAGTAGTAGTAGTAATAGTAGTAATAGTAGTAGTAATAGTAGTAGTAGTAATAGCAGTAGTAGTAGTAGTAGTAATAGTAGTAATAGTAATAGTAGTAATAGCCTTGTCGGGATAAGTAATAGTAGTAGTAGTACTAATAGTAATAGTAGTAATAGCCTTGTCGGGATAAGGAATAGTAGTACTCCTATTACTACTACTACTATTACTACTACTACTATTACTACTACTACTACTATTACTACTATTACTACTACTACTACTACTACTACTACTACTATTACTACTACTACTACTATTACTTATCCCGACAAGGCTATTACTACTATTACTATTACTACTACTACTACTTACTTATCCCGACAAGGCTATTACTACTATTACTATTACTACTATTACTACTACTACTACTACTACTACTATTACTACTACTACTATTACTACTACTATTACTATTATTACTACTACTACTACAACTACTACAACTATTACTACTATTACTACTACTACTATTATTACTATTATTACTACTACTACTACTATTACTACTACTACTACACTATTACTACTATTACTACTACTACTACTACTACTATTACTACTATTATTACTACTACTACTATTATTATTATTACTACTACTACTATTACTACTATTATTACTATTATTACTACTACTACTACTGCTACTATTACTACTATTACTACTACTACTATTACTACTACTACTATTACTACTACTATTACTACTATTACTACTACTACTACTACTACTATTACTACTATTGCTACTACTACTATTACTACTACTACTATTACTATTACTACTATTACTACTACTACTACTACTACTACTATTACTACTACTACTACTATTACTACTATTACTACTACTACTATTACTACTATTACTACTATTACTACTACTACTATTACTACCATTACTATTACTACTACTAGTAGTAGTAATAATTGTAATAATAGTAGTAGTAATAGTAGTAATAGTAGTAATAGTAGTAGTAATAGTAGTAGTAGTAATAGTAGTAGTAATAGTAATAGTAATAGTAGTAATAGTAATAGTAGTAATAGCCTTGTCGGGATAAGTAATAGTAGTAGTAATAGTAATAATAGTAATAGCCTTGTCGGGATAAGTAATAGTAGTAATAGTAGTAATAGTAGTAGTAGTAATAGTAGTAGTAATAATAGTAGTAGTTAGTAATAGTAGTAGTAGTAGTAGTAATAATAGTAGTAGTAGCAATAGTAGTAATAGTAGTAGTAGTAGTAGTAATAGTAGTAATAGTAGTAGTAATAGTAGTAGTAGTAATAGTAGTAGTAGTAATAGTAGTAATAGTAGTAGTAGTAGTAATAATAGTAATAGTAGTAGTAATAGTAGTAGTAGTAGTAATAATAGTAATAGTAGTAGTAGTAATAGTAATAGTAGTAGTAGTAATAGTAGTAATAGTAGTAGTAGTAATAGTAGTAATAGTAGTAGTAGTAATAATAGTAATAGTAGTAGTAGTAATAGTAGTAGTAGTAATAGTAGTAGTAGTCATAGTAGTAGTAGTAGTAATAATAGTAATAGTAGTAGTAGTAATAGTAGTAGTAGTAGTAATAGTAGTAATAGTAGTAGTAGTAGTAGTAATAGTAGTAATAGTAGTAGTAGTAGTAATAGTAGTAATAGTAGTAGTAGTAGTAGTAATAATAGTAATAGTAGTAGTAGTTATAGTAGTAATAGTAGTAGTAGTAATAGTAGTAATAGTAGTCCTAGTAATAATAGTCCTAGTAATAGTAGTAATAGTAGTAGTAGTAGTAATAGCAGTAGTAGTAGTAATAGCAGTAATAGTAGTAGTAGTAATAGTAATAGCAGTAATAGTAGTAGTAGTAGTAGTAGTAATAGCAGTAATAGTAGTAGTAGTAATAGTAGTAATAGTAGTAGTAGTAATAGTAGTAGTAGTAATAGTAGTAATAGTAGTAATAGTAATAGTAGTAATAGTAGTCCTAGTAATAATAGTCCTAGTAGTAGTAGTAATAGTAGTAGTAGTAGTAATAGCAGTAATAGTAGTAGTAGTAGTAGTAATAGCAGTAATAGTAGTAGTAGTAGTAATAGTAGTAATAGTAGTAGTAGTAGTAATAATAGTTTTTAGTAGTAGTTGTACTAGTAGTAATTTTGTAGTAATAATCGTAATAGTAGTAGTAGTAGTAATAATAGTAATAGTAGTAGTAGTAATAATAGTAATAGTAGTAGTAGTAGTAATAATAGTAATAGTAGTAGTAGTAGTAATAGTAATAGTAGTAGTAGTAGTAATAATAGTAATAGTAGTAGTAGTAGTAGTAGTAGTAGTAGTAGTAGTAGAAGCCTTGTCGGGATAGTCTTCACTGAAACTTGTCGGTGTAACAAGATTCTTTGTCGTTGTAACAATGACCTTTGTCGTTGTAACAGGTTCTTTGTCGTGGTTACGACCCTCTCTAGGTTAGAAAACACGATGTTTTCCAAAAACACGATGTTTTCGGTTGGGGCTGCGGGCTTTCTACGGGTTTCTACGGGTTTTCTATGGGTTTCTACGGGTTTTCTACGGGTTTCTGCAGTTAGCCGCCAGGATCCCGCCCCATTTTCTAAAAAAAAAAACAAAATTGATAAAAACAATCTCAAAAGTGTCACTTGGTCTTGTTTTGCACCAAAAGGAGCTGTCGGATTTTAGCACCCCCTTCAAACTGGTTCGGTATGACCTGGCGCCAGTCTTCAGGTGCCTGTTGCTGTGAAAGGTACTTCAAGACTGAAGCCAGCTGCACACCCTGGCTGTCAGGCTCATCAATGTGGTCCTTAGAATTTGAAGCATACTCAGTATAGAGCGTTGCCCTCAGTTGAAATCTTAATGGGTGATGTCTGTGTGAATCCACTCCCGGCCTCAGAAGCCCATTTTTAAGGGGTTTTGTCAAAAACACGATGTTTTTCCTGAAAACACGATGTTTTCAGAAAATCGAGAAAAACACGATGTTTTAGTCAGGGTACGACATTTTTACAGGTTCTTGAAGCCCTAGGTAGGGGTTGATTCCCCATTATTTTCAAACATTTCTAAAAACCAGCTGTTTCCCCTGGGGTTCTGATGGTTTTCTGGAAAGATGCGGATCCCTGGAAAGAATGGAAATGGAAGTGTCCCCTAGAACATCGGGACATTAGGTTAAACCTACCCCCTACTCCAAATACCCACGTTTTTAAGGGTATTTTTTGAAAACCGATCGGTTTTCCATAGTGAATACCTCCTTTTTTAGTAGAGGGTGTACCATGGTAAATACCTGCATGGTAAATACCTCCACCCACCATTTTCTCGAAATATTCCGAATACTTCGGGAACCGTTTTCCGGAAAGAAGGATCCCTGGAAAACTGGGAAGTGTCCCCTAGAACATCGGGACATTTGTTGAAACCTAATTCACGGCCTAAAGAAACCAAGGCCTAAGATCTCCAAGGTGGGCTGTGGCTAGAAGCCCACGTCAGGCTCTAGAACCAAACCACTTGGAACGAACGATGCCACATAACTTCACACAGTATCCTATGATCATGACATACTGTGGATGGACAAAATCCTGCACCACTTTGAATCCATGGGAAACCATTCTTTTTTGGTATTTGCAGGGGAATCATCATTCCAGGGTTTCTCAGGTGGTGCAGAAATTCGTCCATCCACAGTATTGTGGTAATACTCAGATGCCCAGTGGCCATGGGGAACAAGGGCATCCTTTTTTGGTTGCTTGAGTTTCAAGGGGAACTCTCCCTCCCAAAAAAAAACAAAAGGCGCCGCTGGGCAACTGGGGTAACATACCCCACAACCCCATGCCCGTTGTTTAGCCTCTATCCCCCGCCTCATTTCGGTAGTCCACCGAATCCAGCTCCACAGAGGAATCCGACTCCTCCGCTTCCGCCTCGGCCACAGAAGCAAAACGATTCGCGCTTCCACCACTCGTGACAACAAGGATGTCTGTTATCCGCCGACATTGCTCGGCGTGTCGGATACTTACTAGAGGATAGAGGATAACCCCCCCCCTAACCCCCCCCGCCCGACGTCTATTACGTAGGTTTTTTGGGGGGGGGGGGGGTCCCCCACGTACCGCGCGGCAATTTGATGACGTTCCACTAAACGTAGTCTTCGGGGAGCCGGTGTCGCAAAACAGGGGTCCCAGGCTCGATTCCCCCTGCCGGCTTTTTTGCTGGCTTGGGCTTCCTGCATCCTTTTGCCGAAAATCTGGAAAAACTCAATGTTTTTGGACGTCCTCTTTGCGAAAACGCTGGAAAAACCGTGTTTTTTTGCGGGAAATACTGGGGAGCAAAGGGGAAGTGCAAGGATACATACATACATACATACATTACAGTACATTACATTAC